TATATATGTCCCGAAGGACCGCGTAGACCCTCGACTCTTGGCATGCCAACTATACCCCTAGCTCTCATGACACATAACATGGGCATTATTATCTATGTCATTTCATATTCACCCATTCATAACATTTATCTTTTATAGCATGTCTGATCTCTTATAATCATTTAATCACATAGCTCATGTCATTTCTTGTGAAATCATACATATCATGTAAGACATATCAGACATGTTCACATAAATCACTTCCATATAATTCACATGATTTATTATCTCCTAGATCATATCATATTTTCATACAATTTCACAAATCATTGTCATATATGGATATCACATCTATACTTAATCACATAGATAATGTTATATAGCACTAAAATCCCACAGTTCCTATTTCGTAGCTTATATATATTGTTCTTGTATCTTTTTATAGACATATAAACACCTATATCTTAATTCCCTAATTTATTGTACATAATCATATCATCATTTATATTCATAACACCTAGCTCATATTTTGTTCTCTTATGCTTACATAGATCCTATAACATATATTGTAGCATACTAACATGTATCACTTATATAAATTCATTTATATATAAATTTCTTATTTCTCTTAATTCAAGTTTACATTGCTCTTATAACCTTTTCCTATGACTTCATAGATCTTTACCATGTAATTTCTATATCATAGCTCATCTAGGCACATTAATCATTCTCATACATCTTATCTCTCATATGATTATCATTATTTATGTACATATCTCCTAATTGATATTCTATTTTCATATTGTCCTATAGGTCAATATTATCTATCTTGTTTCAATTCTCATTCAATGATATAATTCTATTTTACTATTTCACATAAATGTTCATACCACTATTCACTTACCCAACTCACATTCTTATTGTTTATATAACCTTTACACTTGATTACTTCATTCCTATCATTTCTTCTAAACTCGCTTTTTACCATATTCCCATATTATTACCTAATTTATCCCATATCATGTATTCGCATAATCTTATATTCCATTTCTATATATCTCACAGATCTTATCATATAACTTCTCTTTTATATTCATATAATTTCTTATCATATCATATAGTTTATATCATCATAACATAGCATATATTCACATCAACCATGAAATACATATACAATAACATGTCAACACATACCATAACATATAACTCAGACACTCATGACAAACACATGTTCATGTTCATGCTTCATGCACAATACTATAGAAAATAGACTTGTCGCAAGTCTTATTTCCCATTAAACATCATATATAAAATAATGCGCACTCACATTGGCCTCACTAAGTTCCAATCCATTTTTATAATTTACTCTCTTACGATTGAATCATAACTTGATAATCGTTCCGGGACTTGTTCGTGCTCGATATCTACACAATCATACATTGATACATATCAGTATCCCATTGATATACTCTAATCTATCATTTCTTATACCAAAAGAAATGTCTATTTCAATTTCCCCTTGAAGTGCATCGATGCATGGGTAGTGCATCGATGCATTCTTTAACATGTGCATCGATGCACTACCAATGCATCGATACACAAATCACCTTCGATGTTTTCATTTTAAGGGGGTGCATCGATGCACTCCTTATGCATCGATGCACTAACTGCATTGATGTTTCCATTTTTAATGGGTGCATCGATACACACTGAACAATTTCTGGAAATTTACCCTTGATGCATCGGTGCACATTGAATGTGCATCGATACACATAGCCCAAAATTCATTTTTAACCCCGAAAATCATCAACTCTTCCTTTAATTCTTCTATTTTAAGCCCCTATTATGTCATTAAACTCAACTACCATTACTTAAACCAACTTATATCCATGTAAATCATCTTTAACCTCAAAATCCTATATTCCTTATGAAATTCAAGAATCATACTCAATTTCTAACATGTTCCAAATTCCATTTTATTACTTCATATCTCTTAATTAGATTGATGACAAGTCAAATTTAACTTCCAATTCAAGTTATGAACTTTATTCCAAGATTTCTTCCAAGAACCTCAAATCTTTAATTCCTCCTAACTCCATCATACTTTGATTTTTAAGATAACTTAAGCTTTCTTTAAACTTAGTTATCATCTAATAATCAAAAACCAATCTTATATTTAACCAAAAACCCAATAATCAGAAAACTCACATTTGACTCTTGGTTTTCACGCGTGAAGGAAGAAGGAAAATGAAGAGAACTCTGGAACTTCTTTTCCCTCTTCCCATGTGGTTCCTTATCTTATAAGGGAAAAAATAAAAATCTTCTTTATAAAATGACCATTTTGCCCTTTACTTAATCTAATAATTACTAATAACTTTTTGATTTATTTCCAAATAAATCATTGAACTAATTCATTGTTCTACTCTAGTCACCAAATTCTGAAACTTTACAATTTGATCACTAACCCGGTATTAAGGATGTTAGAAGTTATAAATAGAAGGTATATGTAAGTATGAGTGAATTTTCGAGTTAAAAAGATGAATTCTGGCAAGGGGTATCGGTATTGTTCATTCAGTATCGATACTTCAAAGAGGAATTGAGTGTTACTTGAAGCATGGGTATCGATACTGGTTAAATAAGTATCGATACCATAAGGCACAAATTGATATAATTGTTCAAGGAGTATCGATACTGAGGGTATCGATACCATCTAGCAAGTATCGGTACAATTTTTAAAATAAGGATGGCAGAATCGAAATTGGGTATTGATACTATGGAGGGGTATCGATACTACAAGCATAAAGGTATCAGTATTGTGCTTGTAATACTTATACTACTTGAGCTGTAATTTGAGATTAATGCTTTGATTAGCTTGCAATAATAAGAATATTTTCAAGTAATTCGAATCCCGATAATTATTGGATTGTGTATTCGTGTAGAGATCGATCAAAAGCAAAATTCGGACAAGTTATCAGAATAAGATTGACGAGAGAGACTTAAAAGATATGTATTGGCAAGTGAGGCTAAGGTGAGTATATGATATTATGAGTAAGTTATTTTAGGGAATTAAGACTTGCAATAAGTCTAATTCCAATATTAAGTTATATGAGTACCAGAATATAAACATGTAGTGATATGATGTTTAGGTGTATATGAGTACATGAATGTGTTGAGATGTTAAGTGCATCATTATATGTGATCCATACATGTATGTGTGTTAAATCGTGTAACCATGAGCTATGTGTGATACATGAAAATATGATATAAGCTATGTATATGTGATGAGTTATGTGAACATGTGGATATGTCTATGAGACATTAACTATATGAAATGTCCTATGTGTTTACATGAAAAGTGATATATGTGACTATATGTACATGTGATACAAGTTATATGAAAAGTACAAATGATAATGCCCATATTATGTGATATGAGAGCTAGGGGTATAGTTGGCATGCCAAGAGTCGAGGGTTACGTAGGTCCTTGAGACATAGGTCCTTCGGGACACAGATTTCACATACCACTCAATGGATTCTTATACGAGCTTTGGTTACAGCATATGTGCACAACCTCTAAGTACTTACATACCTTAAGTTCTCAAAAGTATACATGGGCTAATAAAGAAATAAAACAAATATATTGTATGTGATATGTATATGTGTGACATGTTAAGGGAAATGGATAAAAGGATTTGTAGGTATTGTTTGGTTAATGTATAATATGATGATTACTAATGCTATGTATAAGAGTATATAATTATAAGGATCAGTGATAATGTGGATAATAATGGAAATAATAATAATATGTGTGCACATAAGCTTAGTGTTGTATGATATGTACATGCATTTGTTAAGTGGTTATAGTTTCTATTATTCTTTTACATGTCTCATTAAGTCTATGACTTAGCGTGTGAGTGTTTCACACGTAGGTTTGAGAAGTACAAAAGAAAAGATAAGCAGTGGAGACAACGTACTTCAGCAAATATTAGATCAGAAGAATTAACTGTATGTTTCTGTTTTGTATTATATAGTGTTGGCATGTATTTAAAGGATTAAATTGTATAAGCTATGAATAGTTTTATAAACGTTTTTGAGTTAATACACGTAAATTATTTAATATGTTAAAATTTTTCCTCTGTTTTAATTAAGTACATGGTTTGAAAGGGTGATGTGACACCTTGAACTTGTATTCGGGTCGAATACGGGTTAGGGGTGTTACATACTATAATATCAGAGAAGTAAATTTATTGAATTATTTTAAATTAAAAAGAGGAACAACTCAAAAGTAATTTAAAAATTAAAAATTTATTAAATTAGGAAAATTTGATAAAATATAAATTTTGGGACTAAAATTATTATCGTACCATACTGCATCACCCTATCCATTAATTTTAGCAAAAATTGGATGACGAATAACTAAAATTAATTTTTATATTATTAAAATTATTTATTTATTTTTTACAATGGTAAAGTATACAAATGGTCCCCCGACTTTGGATACTATTTTATTAAGTCTCTCGACTATTAAAGGTAACAAAATGGTCACTCAACTATTCATTATGTTCCAAACTCATCATTTCCGTTAAAAAATTGATGACATTTTGAGCTGAACGTTAACATGTTGACTGTAATAATAAAACATGATCCTAGAATCTCAAATAACTATCATATAACAATCATCATGTTGACGTTCAACTTAAAAAAACGTTAATTTTTGACTGAAAAAGACGAATTTAAAATATAATGAATAGTTGAATGATCATTTTATAATTTTTAATAGTCAATTGACTTAACAAAATAATATTTTATAACTAAAAAATTATTTTATAACTTGTAATAATCAAAAACATTTAACAAAACACTACTTTATAGTGAGATGACTATTTGTGTAGTGCAACTTTTTTTAAAAATCTAATGATATCTGTGTCACATATTTTTATATTATTTTGGGTTAGATGGAAGAAACAGGCTATCACGTTTAGCCCAAAACACAACGTCGGAATCGGTATATATTAGTGAGATTTTAGGGCTTCTTTTCTTATTGCGTACGGTGAAGCTGAGCCATCTGTAGCTGCCGCCTTCTCGCCGAAGATCTCGCATCGTCCGACGACAATGGTTGCCTCCAAGAAGACCGTAATATCCCTACGCTCTTTTACTTTTCTTTTTTCTGATTTTCTGAAACTATTTTAACCAACTTTTATATCGTTAATGGGGTATTTTGATGCAGAAGAAGACCCATGAGAGCATTAACAACAGATTGGCTCTCGTTATGAAGAGTGGGAAATACACTTTGGGTTACAAAACTGTCCTCAAATCCCTCAGAAGCTCCAAAGGTATTTGGTTTTTTTTTATTTTAAACCATGCTGCTTCTTTTTTCCTCCATTTCTGAGATTTCGAGCTATCTGATTGTTTATTTGAATATCTCTCGCAGTTTTTGGTTCTTTTTGTTATATGAAAAATGATGGGTTTGTTTTCTTGTTTTGGATGGTTGACTAAAAGTGAACCATCTCTTGTTTGCTAAAAATAGTGTTTAACTTGAACAATGGCATTGTAGATTTTGTTTGCAATTCGAATTTTCTATTTATGATTCTAGTCTAAATGTTGATTCAGCTTCTGGAAGACATTTATTTTTATTTTTATTTTATGCTTGGTAGGTAAGTTGATTATCATTGCCAACAACTGCCCTCCTCTTCGGAAGTCGGAGATAGAGTATTATGCTATGTTGTGCAAGGTTGGAGTTCACCATTACAATGGAAGTATGTCCCTTAACTGATTGCACTCTTGTTAGTTACTTAGTAATTTTGATTGTTTTTAATATCGAGATAAATTGAAATCTATTTTATGCTCAGTTCACGGATTATGACTAAAGATTTGTTCATGTTCGTACCCCTCCCTTGCCCTTTCGATTATTTAGTTTCAATAAGATTTTTTCTAGTGCTGCTTATGGAAATTGTAGGAGGAACTACTGATCTGTTTGTCACTCAAAGCCGTTGACTAGTTGATTCCACTCCCCTTGATTTTTTCGGTGTCGTTGGTGTTGGGGGTGCGATGGTCACCAATGGTCTTTATATTTTTGTAATGTTGTTTCTTGATGGGAGCTAACTGTTATTGTAGATTGTAGATGGTAAATAGAGTTAGATTTACTGTAAATAACTCTTTTTTTAGTAGGATAGAATTCTATCTTGAGTAATTTTACTTGTGCAGTAACTCTATATATTGAGCCTACTTAAACTTAAAGGAGACTTGTAACCCTATTCAAAGTAAGAGAATTACCACAGAGAATCACTTGATCTGTCACACAAATACTCAGGTTCTACAAGGAATCAGATTAGGTTTGTCGAACCTATCAACAAACCCTAATTCAATTTGGGGCTGATTTGTTCAGTGTATGTCGATTTTGTTGTTTTTGATGATTATTCCCTTAAAATCGCCTGTTTTCTGCTTTTGTAGACAATGTAGATTTGGGCACTGCATGCGGCAAATATTTCAGGGTGTGCTGCCTCAGCATTGTTGATCCTGGTAAATGTTACTGTCTTGTTGACATGTTTGATTTCATTTTCCTCTTATCTGTATACCGGTTATGATCTTGGAAATATTGTGTTATTTCAGGTGATTCCGATATCATTAAGAGCATGCCTGGTGATCACTAAGTTACTGGGGATAGCCATTATCCATATCTTCATAGATTTTGTTTTGATTTAGTTGCTTCTAATTATTCATAGTTTGAAACATTGGTGTTTAAGAGAACATCACTCTCAAATTCAGAACTTTTGTTGTTGCTATGTTGTTGTTTGGCCTATGTTCTGGAGATTTCAAGTCAATTTTTCGGCATTGCCTACATTCGTTTTAATGGGCCATTTTTACGATTACGTGATCAAACGTTTGATATGGCTTGCCTTCAATCGAGGTGAATCACCATAAATCACCGCCTCCTATCCAGGTTATGACACTTTGGTTTGATGAACGTGAACCATTTTTTACCAAAGAAAATCATTCAAGAGGACTAACTTGACCAAACTTAGTTATAAAATTTCGATACACCAACCATGCAACATCCTCTGCCATGTTCAGACATTAAGTCGGGCAAGAGATGACACATTTCGATAACTGAAACATTTACGACTCTAATTGGATTAAAAACATACATTTAATCATACCAAAACATATAAAAAAAATTACAAGGACCATTTTGAATATCTAGCGTTCTTAGTCCTGCATGATTTACACATTCTTTGAACCAAATAGTTGAAGAGTTCAATGCCAAGCTTAAAAGCAACACTAAAATCTAAAACTTTTACAATATTCTAATCCAATCCCCATCTAAAAGCAGTGTTAAAGAAGCATTCAAAGTTGTTTCTAAAAGGAGCTAAAGAAAAGGAGATGCTCTTCTTATTTATTCTAATGAGATTTGTTAATTCTCCTTCACTTTATTCTCTCCCAACTAATACCCCTTCAAAATTTGTTGTTTACCTCCTTTTATCATATCATATTATCACCAAAGAAATAAAGAAAGAAAGAACAATTAATTTAATTAGAAAAAAATTACGTATCTAATCATCCATTTATTCTCGTAGATCTATTTTGGTCACTTATTTTTTCAAATTACACCCAACGTTACGTATTGGTCACCAGTCGTTAGAAAGATAAATAGAACGATTGGCATGGAAAATATCTTTTATATTTTAGTGGCGACATGATATTATCTTATAATGACACGTCATCACCACTGCTAATTTTTTAATGGTGGGTGACCAACAAGGAAGTAAGATGCAATTTTAGATATTATTTTGAAAAGAAAAATAATAAGATGACTAAAACAAAATTGAAACAATAGGTAAGTGATTAAGTACGTAGTTTCCCCTGAATTAATCACACCGTAGCTTTAAGAACATTACATGTTTTTCTTTGAAATGACCTGAGAATTCAACTTTCAACAGCTTCTACCAAATGATTTTTGTTCTTTGGGAATTTTTGATTAAAAGTTGTGTTTTTGGTACAAGTAGAACATGTAACGGTCTTTACCGTCTGTTTTGTTTTGTTCTGTTTCGAGCAGCAACGTGGGGACCACAATCCGCAAAAACCATATAGAACAGATTGATGGGCCTTCCTTTCCCATGTGCCCTTTTGCATGGAGCCGTTGAAATTACGAGTTAATAGAATTTGATTCTATTCAAAATAATATTTTTTCAAATTTAATTTAATGCTAAAAATTTGACTTATATTAATTTAATTGGTAATTTTATAAATTTTAATTGATTAGAAAAAATTAAATTCAAGTTGAATGATAAAACATAATTTAAATAACATAATTTTTTAATAATTAATTAATTAACTTTTAAACTTTATTCGAATATCTCAACTCTACATGATTAGTGTATATTGCATATAAAAATATATGAAGAAATATATATTTATATTGTATCATAATATTATAATTATTTTTAAAAAAATAAATAGATATAAATAAATTTTAAAACAATTCAATTTTTTTTACCCTCGAATGCTCACTCCTTGCTGGCATTGTATTTTATAAGGCATTATTAAATCAATAACCCATTAAATATTTTTTTTGAAGAACAACCTCCTCCCAAGATTATTTATATGGATGCACACGTAGGACTACCTCGCGTCCTACGAAACGCGATAAATTACTCGCTTCTCATTAGGCGTCAAGGAAAATAATAGAAGAAGCATCCGACTCCTTCATGCATGCTCTACTTGGCTCGAGGGATATAGCTTAGTTGGTAGAGTTTCGCTCTTTCTATTGGGTTGTTACGATTACGAGTTGGGTGTCTAATTGTCCAGGAGATAATGATAGTGTATTGCACCTGAACCAGTGGTTCACTTTTTTCTAAGTAATGGGGAAGAGGACCGAAACATGCCACTGAAAGACTCTATTGAGACAAGTTGTCAAGAATGTAGAAGAGGTAGGATGGGCAGTTGGTCAGATCTAGTATGGATCGTACACGGACGGTAGTTGGAGTCGACGGCTCCCCTAGGTTTTCACATAACGATATTTAATATTAGTATTTAATATCTCGCGCTTTGCTAGACGCAAAGTCTACGATACATTGAATCCTAGCAAGTAATTTATTGTGAGCGATATTTAACATACCTCGCGTCTTACAAGAGGCGAGGTATGTTGTTTTGCAAGTTCTTATAAGCATGTTTAACTGGTATTTTCGGGTATTGAATCTCATTTTTTTTTTTTGTAAATTATAAGATTATAAGCATACTATTTGAATTTATCTTGCAGTTGAGGCCAATATCGAGACATCATATGAGACATTGTAAGTGGGTTAAAATTTGCGTTGAAAATGCTTCCAAAGCTTATTTTATGCATGAAGAAAATGTTAAAATGGGTTGATAGGTATATTCGAAGAGTTTTTTCAGGTATTTAATCTGAAAAATTGCGTACTTTATTATATTAAAAGCGTAGTATTGCAACTTATCTTTCAATTGAGTATAATATCGGCACATATTAGACATTTGTAAGCGAGGTAAAAATCGCGTTCAACATGGTTCCAAAGCTTGGTTTTGTACATTAAGAAGATGCTAACATGGATTCGTAGGCATGTTTAGTGAGTATTTTCAGGAAGTTAGTATGGAACTTTTCGTCATTTATAAGATTAGAAGCGTAATATTGATCCTTATGTTTCAATTGAGGCTAGTATCGATACATACGAGACATTGTAAGCAGTGAAAAAATCGCATTCAAAATGGTTCGAAACCAAAAACGCGTTTCAAAGTAATCCTAGTCACATAATTAAAACACCATATGTTCCTGAGTAGTTTTGATGGAACTAGAAATTTCATGCACTAGGGAAACCCTGGGTTTTTTCATGGAACATGCCATCAGAAGAGGATGTTTTTTTAGAATAATAAGTTTCTCGAGAATGTCAGGTTATTCTTGTTAAAAAAGGTTGAAATATCGACTGACAATTTTGATGGATGATAGTGGATATTGAGACACCCTCCCATAATTTTATTTACTTGGATGGACGACCGGTTGAGGATGCCTTTTAAGGGTATTATTAAATGAAAAACCACCCATGAACTTTAAAAGACAATATCTTTATAAAAGGCATTCTCTTCGGGAGGCATAACATATAACACCGATTTTGACATAAGGATATCTTTGTTTCGTGCCAAGTTGTTCCACTAGAAGATATGTTGAGATTTTTGGAAGCTCGAATCGATAATCGAAATGGTTTGCAAAGAGGGTTGGGATAGGTTTTTGTGTTTAAGGAGTACGGAGATTAAAAGATAGAGAATTGCACAGCGATTTAGAGTGGTTCGACTTCTCAACCAAGTCTACATCCACTACCTTAGCTCCTCACCAAGGATTTTCCAACAAATTCACTAATTTGTTCTTTCTTTTGAGGACAAAGAGTAACCTTACAAACTCCCTAGTTTTTCCGGGCTAAACTAGAACTTTTCCCTAGATTTTACACGGGATAAGCTAGAACCTTTCCCCTTTACAAAAGGATAAAATAAGTAAACAAGAAAACCTCTTTAAGGTAGGTGTTTACAAGATTGAGCTCACAAGAACAAAATATTTACAAGAGAAAGATGAAATAAGATTGAAAAACTCTTCTCTTGTGTTTGATTGCTTGGATAGTTGTTCTTTTTCTTCTTCAAGTGTCCTTAGCTTGTATTTATAGCTTGGAATGTGTTTGATGTTGTATATAGCCGTTGGGGATGTTTTGGAGCCGTTTGGGGATGATTTTTCTACTAAAAAAGGCTGCTCATAACATGGTGCATCGGTGCACTATCATGGTGCATCGATACCCCTTCATTAAATTCAAATAAGCCGTTACTAGCCATTGCAGCCTTCGTGCATGGATGCACAACAGGATGCATCGATGCACTAATTGCATTCGGTGTTTGAGTGCATGGATGCACTGCATGGTGCATGGATGCACTGCATGGTGCATGGATGCACTAGTGCAGGTGCATGGATGCACTGCAGGGGTGCATGGATGCACTGCAGGGGTATATGGATGCACTTTGACACCCTTTAGCATTTTGGCTCAAATTCGAATTTAATGAACTTTGAATTATTTTTGAAACCTTTTAAAACTTTGAATAAATTCAATTAAGTTCAAAAACATTTTGTAAATTCAATTCAAGTCCAAAAACCATTTTGCCTTAAATTGTTATATCAAAACATAGTTCAATAATCTCCCCCTTTTTGATATAACAAAACATTTGAAAAATTGTTTTTGGCAAAACTCCCCCTTAGTAAATTGTTTAATGAAAAAGATATCAATTGTTAACAATTGTTGGGAAATATATGAAAATATTAAGCTCCCCCTTTTTCATTTAGAAATTGAATTTTTCAAACCAAACTTCTCCCCCTTTTTGTTATATCAAAAATAATTCAATCTTTGAAGTTCAAAATAACTTTGGAGAGTAAGTGGTAAATTTGACATTTAAAAATCATTTGAAAAATCAAAGCCCCCCCTCAATAATAGAATTCCAAACAAAATTTAGCTTTTAAGATCATGACACTTAAACAAAATTGAATTTCAACAAAAAATAACAAACATGTTAGTAGCTCATGAAATTCAAAGTATCCAAGTCTAAAATACTTTATGCAATACCAATTGTTGAATTTAAGATCATATGCATAAAGTTTTCCAAAAATGTTATGCATTTGAAATTTTTTTGATATCAATTGTTAGAGAG